TTTTCTGTTTCATTTGCCCGTCCTGCATGCCAGCACCAGCCAGCCTGAGAGAGACAGGGTCAAGTTTGGCTTGTGGAACAAAGGTGTGAAAGGGCGTTCATGAAAAAGTGGCATCCATTTGGAGAAAGAGGCTTCATTTTCTTCTGTCTCTCTTAAAGACCTCATGGCTTTAACGTTTCCTCTCGGAAATCTGAAGGAGAAATGTCACGTTCCCACGCTCGACAGCTCCTTAAGGGCTCCTTGCCACCAAAAGCCCCCCTCTGCTGCTGTGTGCTCTCAGCATCCTCACCCCACCACCCACAAACCCGGGGCCCTGCAGCTCTCCGAGCACAGCTGGGCTACAGCTGCTGATGTTCCCTGCTGGGATGTCTGTAGGGTGAGAGCCAGGGCCGAGCACCGAGCTGCCACCACTGCAGCTGCTCCCCACCATCCCCAAATACCTGCGTTGTACTCCTGGCTGCTCACCGCCGGTCCCAGTGCCGTGCCAGGCTTGGGCAGAGTGGCAGTGCCGTGCCAGGTCTGAGCTCTTTGCTTACAGAAACACCGTAAAAGCTGCTTTGAGGAGTAAATGTGGCTATTTGATAGAGGGTGAGGACTGGGGATGTGAAGAGGAGAGAGCAAGGAACGTAGCAACTGGAAATGTGAAGTGGAAGGTGCACTCGTGACTGGTGTCACTGGTGAACTGGAGGCTGGGCTGGAGACCTCCTGGGCTCTCTCCCACCTGGGACAACACAGAATGGCTCGGGTTGGAAGGGATGTAAATTTTCCTTGGGACTAGACGGTTTTTGTTCCTCAGCATCAAGCAGGATGCCTCTCATTGAAGGGATTCATCTTTAAGGTGCCGGCCAAGGAAGCACGGTTCTGTAACACACAGCGTTGGCTATTGTTTAAAAATGTACGCTAACAGAATTGAAGATTTTGTTGTTAACTAATCGTGCTTATGTTGGCCGGGGAGCGGACATTTGCTTGCCTTTTTAAGCAGCCGAGCCGGGAGGGTTAAGTCTGAAGTTCAAACTTTTGCCAAAAAAAATCCCAACCTCGCTCTGTTTGTCTCATTTAATTGGCCGCAGTGCTCCGCTCATCTCAAACTGAATTAAAACTTTCCGTTCTGAGATTTCCGACAGCCGGATCTGGGAGGGTGGTGGTGACCGAGATCCACCCCTGGGGCTCAGGAGCACAGGGCACCTGTGCAGGACACGCCGGGGGCCCACGGGTCCCTGTCCCTTCAGGGACATCGCTGCTGCCCCATTCCCGGGGTGTTTGGGACGGGGTGCCCCGTTCCTTCAGCCAGCACTGCGGTACTTCTCCCAGGAACACGGGGGTGGAAGCAGTGCTGGCGAGCCCGGAGGTGCCCCAGCTGTGCAATGAGTCCTTCTCGCTGTTTGCCTCAGCTCTCACGCTGTTTAGTCTATGGGAAGTGAAAGAATTTTGATTCCAGTTGAGATGGAGGAGGAAAACCCTCGGTGTCTGGCAATCAGCATGGTGAGCAGTGCTGAGAAAACAAATCCTCGAGTCCTTTTCTGAATCAGCTCCTAGGATCTTGGACTTCTCTGACCGCTGCTGTCCGTGGATACAAAGCATGCTGAGATGTTTCCTGCAGCTCCTCTTCTTTGGATTTGTTTTGTAACCTCGATGCCTTTTACCTTTCAGTCAAATCGCGGCTCCTGATTCACGTGAGGCTGAGTAGTTCTGGATCATTCAGAGCTGAAAGCAATTCCACTTCGGATTTCCACCTGCCCCCTCCAGTCCAGCATTACTTATCTCTGTTCCTTAGCTCGTTCCTTTAACTGCTGCCCTTTCCTTTGGGCACAGCTTGAGAAATTTCATATGCTCGAGCCCACGTATGCATGGTACGTAATAGAAAAGAGAGAAAAGCCTCGCTGGAAATTGTGAGCACTTCTTCAGTGGTGTGGCTGGCTCATCAGGCGCCCTCCCGGGACGTAGCAGGGGCTGGCCCTGGCTTTGGGTGCTCGGTGGTGCCCTTGGGGTGCCCGTGGCGAGCGAGGGGTCTGGGTGGGCTGCGGCAGGAGGAGGGGAAGGGGCTGCCTGCTGCCCTGCCAGCAGCACGGGCAGGCTGTCCCAGCTGGCTGCGGCAGCCTTTAGGACAAAGGTGTTTGTAACATGCGTGCAAACAAGCTTCAAAGCTGGGAAATGCTATTCGCTGCCCAAACCAGCATGAAAAGCAGAGAGCTACAAAAGGCAGGCTGCTCCGAGCTGCTGGCTGCGTTTTCATGTACGTGCTTGCCCGGCTGTTTGGGGAGGATTGGGTGAGGATGCCTCTGCCGGGCTGAGGAGGGTTTGGTGGGGACAGTCCCGGCTGCGCCCCGCGGGCATGTGCGTGCTGGCTCCATGGAGATCCGTGCCTCTGCCCTGAAAGCCTCTGCAGCCAGTAATTGTGTCTGTGAGCTCGTCCCCCGAAGCTTTTTCTCTTGAGCATTGGGAAGGCATCCACGGGCAGCACGGCTCCTCCGAGCTGTGCCAAAAAGCCCCGTCCTCGCCTGCTCCTGCAGCACACCCCAGCGCTCCCTGCCGCGTTACTGCTCCTCCGAGCGAGCAGGTTGGGGACAGGGGCTGAGGCTCCTCCACTCCATTATGCAAAGGCTGCTATTTAATTATTTACAGGCAGATATATATCACCGAATGCGTAAAACTGAACCCTCTAGCAGCCCACAGCCAGAATGGTTGAAAGCAGCCTGCTTGGCACCAGCGTGTAGCTGAAATCCCTTGATGCTAGCTTTGTTTTGCATAGCACTTTGTAATGCTGTTAGTTGACTTGGCTGCAGCTTCACAAAGCATTTTTTTTCCACTTGGTTCAACACTCGCTCGAATTTAATGGGAACGGGGCCAAACAAGTAATGCAAGCCAAGTGCCGACGTTTGTTTGGTGTGCAGTTCCTGACAAGGAATATATATAGCGATTGTCTCCTGCTCCTCCGAGCTGTAGCTTTGGCAGAGGGGCTGTGGGTGTCAGCACGCCAAGGCTTTAAAATCATAATCAGTCAGCGATGAAAACGTGTATTTATGGCTGTAACGAGCTGCATCAAAGCAGGAACCGTGAGCCTTCCCTGCAGGAGGAACAACGGCCCCTAATTCAGGGATGCCTACTCCTACATCACACAAAGATCTTTCGGAGTTTCAAAAGCTCTGAGAGCGCCCAGCCTGCATATGAGCTTTATTTCCCAACAATATTCCTAACAGGCACGTGGGGCTGCAGTTTTAGCCGCTGGCACCAGGCTCTGCATCGAGAAACGATATAAGAACGTGGCAGCGTGAGTGGCATGTTTAATGTGCCCGTGGTACATCGCGGGAGCATCCTGTAACTGTTTTTTTTTTTTTTTTTGAGTCCTCGATATTTTTTTCTGCTTCTTTCTGGCATATCAAGCTCTTTTTTGGAGCTGCCGTAACCTACCAGCTCTCGGTGGCTCCCAGGGGACCACAGAGCCTTCAAAATGCTCCGAAAGGCAGCAGTGCTGCGGATCCGTGATGCGCCTGGGCTGGGGGTTATTCTGTTATCCTACATGCTCCCTCTTTCAGTTCACAGGATAGGAACGTCTCAGTGCTTCTCATCTGCATTAGAACATTTTAACATTATTAAATTTGTCCTAAACTTTTTAATTGCACACTGTTTTCATTAAAAAAAAAAAAAGGTGGGGGTTGTTTTCCTTAATAACTGTCATTCCACAAGAAAGTGGCGTTATATAACTTTAATTTTTCCAAATTCCTGTGAAAACAGAAGTAAATAAAACTTTAATAGCTCATAAAGAAAGAGTTAACCTTTTCCTTCTGCTTTCCCAAACCTGTGAAGCTGGAAGAAATTAATTAAAGCACGTCCAGCGGTACTTGCAGATTGCACTTCAGAAATCAGACAGTTCTGGTTTAATCACGGCAAACCATACCGGGTGTTTCAAAAGTCCTGAGCTGGCTGTTGTGCAGAACAGTGCTCTTTTTTGTGACGGAAAGGGAGCAGGTCCATAAGGGACAGGAGAATTGTCACCCGGCTACTTTCTGCCCCTCGGCTCCCCGACCCGTGGGCACCCCCAGGTCACACCGGCTCCGTTAGAGCTCCCAGTCCTCGATGCGTGCAGGTAGCATTAAAATATTCATGTCCCTAATGATGGCAGAAATGAGGCAGAGCTGCTTTCACCAGAGGGCTTTGCAGGGCAGAACTGTGAGATAAATAAATACTTCTGAGTTTAAAAGCTTCTTCTTTCTCTTAGAGAGATTTGCATGTTGCATCCCCAGTTCTGCTTCAGTGTTTCTGACTGTTCCCTCATGGATGTAAAGCCCAGAGCAGGATAATCCCCAATAGCTTTAATTAGCTGACCTGGGATGTTTTACATCCCTGCTATAATGCCAACGGGTGTCTCGTGCCCATGCATTCAGCTCAGTTCTCTGATCACGCCTTGACTCGGTAAAGAAAAACGCAGCATTGTTCAGTTTGGTGGTGCTGGGAGCTGTTTGCTTCCTTGGCGTTCTCCAGAAGACGCATTATCCTCGGACTGTCACCCTTCCAGGAAGAGCTTTGATTCAGCAGGGAGCGAAGCCTTCCTGCTGGGGAGTTGTTTGGCTACGTGTGGGTCAGATCACTGCAGTCTGGGATGAGGTTTCGGATGGGTTCGTGTCTGGGTTTGTGATATGGCGATGGGCTTTGCATAGGGGTTGGCTGGAGTGAGCCAGCTGGAAGGGTGCGTGCCCAGAGAGAGGTGCCAGTAACTTCCAGTCTGCTGCTGGTGTAACTGAGGAGTCAGAGCCTGAGCCAGCGGGTTCCTGCTGCTTCAGCTAATTCTCATTTGATCCCACTACAAAGTCAGTAATACAGCTGTAGACGTAATAAACTTAATTACTTAACTATGGGATCATGGAGCTGTGAAGGAGCATCATTTGATGCATTTGTTTTGAATTGCCTTCAAACAGCTGAATGGGGAGCTGAGTACTTTGGTGGGGAACCCACTACGTGCAACATCTAAAGACTCTAAAAATGTGGTTCTCTTTCATTTACAGCTCCCAGCCCCACGACAGCTGTCCCTTACATGTCAGTGAAGTGCATTGATGTAAGGAAAAACCACCACAAAACCAAGTGGCTGATGCCCTGGGGACCCAACCACTGTGAGAAGCTCAAAGACTTCGACGAAGCAGTGAGCAGGCAGATCGAGGCCAACGACATCGTGTTTGCCGTGCACATCCCTCTCCCCAGCAAGGAGATGAGCCCCTGGTTCCAGTTCATGCTTTTCATCATGCAGCTGGACATCGCCTTCAAGATGGACAACGACCTGAGTAAGTCGCTCTGCCCTTTTTTACGTGCTGGCTGTGGGCTGTTGTTTTTCCCAGTGTCTTTTCATCCACCTGCTTTTATCCAGCACCACATGCTACCTGGTGACGTGCCCGCACGCAGCAACCTGCCCCAAGGCTGGGGGTGAGGAACGAGGCATTGCAACGTGGGCGTCTCCAGGGAAAGCTGCTTGCGCTGCGTTAGCGGGTGGCTAAGCAAATGGTGAACAGGTTCTGTGCTAAAGTACGCGGAATATCAGGACCTGCACTGGCCTAAATCCAGCAGGTTGCTTTCACAGCATGCGCTCCTGGGTTTCGGAAAGTTTTCCAAAGTATCTCAAGTTGCTGAGCACGCAGCAATGGTTTGCAGTAGGTAATACCACTGAACTCTTAAAAGCTGAAAGGGACTTGTCCCACTTCTGAGCATCAACATCCCGCTCCTTGCACGGGCTCTGCACACGTGCAGCTGCTTGGTGAGTTGAATCCTGCATCCTCCATGGGGTAAGTTTGCCTCTGGCTGGAGGAGTTTGGCCTCCGAGGAGGTGCTGGAGGCACTGCGGTGACCTGCTGGAGGCGGTGGCAGTGGGGACACCCCTGCAGAGGCCGCTCGCCTGCTGCTGTGCCACCTCGCTGGACTCTAGTTCCCCTGCCTCAGTCTGCGTGGAGGTGGTGAAAAGCAGTCTCAGGACATAATTTTAAATGTTATTTTGTATCTCTGCCCCAAAACTCCTTTCTACAGATAGTTCAACTGGTTCGTTGTTTCCCAGTGCTGTAGATTTTAAGCTGTGGTGTCTTGCTCCATGTTCACCAAGTGCTTTTGTACGGTCAGTTTCTAAACTGTGAGCTGACGTAGTCAGTAAATAAAATCATCCATCCACACGCTTACCTGAGGCTTTGCCATAATTATAATTTTAATTTCTTCTGCAATTTGAGTTTGCTCACTGGCAAACTGCAGTAGCTGCCCTGCCTTCCATCACATGCTGAGGTACGGGCAGATGGAAAACACTTCTTGGCCTTGAAAGGACAGAGTTCAAATTAAATGCCAGAACTGCACAGGTACAGGAACCGTGGAAGAAGCTGTCTTACTGGGATTCAACCTCGGTACCTGAAGAATATGGAATACACAAAAACCCCTACAAAAGCCTGTGAGATGAAGTCAGGAGCAGCAAGGGCAAGCTGCTCTGCCCCTCGCTGAAAGAACAACTGTAGGCGTGTTTGCACATTGTGAAGTGTTTTGGAAAATCCCTCTCTCTAACAGCCATAACCTAACAACAAATAAACAATTTACTTCTCAAACTGGTCCAACCCGGGGCTTTGGCAGCTCTCTGCCTGCTGCCGTCTGCCTCTTCGCGGGCCTGGCTCGAGTGCCCGCAGGGAGCAAAGCGTCTGCGGCTCCCTCACCGCCCTGCCTGGTCAAAGGGGCCTGCTCCTCCCCAGCTGTGTGCTGTGTCGTCATCGAGGGAAGCTAAAAACGAGGTCTTCTAAAGCTTGCGTGCATGTTCTTAACCCTGTAATTATCTAACATATGGAGAGCGGCTCTGTAACTTCACCAAGGCCTCGGCTCCTTGGCTCCACCAGGCCGCTGCGCCTGGAGAGGCTCTTGGGGTGCCAAACTGCAACTCAAATTTTCTTGGAGATGAAAAAAAAAAAAACAGAAAACTCATCTTTTGCCACCCTCTGGTGATGAGCTGGACCAGCTCTGCAGTCCGGGGTGGCTGCTGGTGTTCCTGGTTTGTCAGAAGTGCTGGGAGCCGTGGCATGCAATGCTTTGTTTTCAGTGAGCGTTTGGCACATCTTCAGGGTTTTCTTTCATTGACTGAGGAAAGCTTAAAAACGCTGTTTTCCTACACTTTATGCCAAGCTGAAGTCAGATGTAAATTAAGTGTGAAATCTAAGCAACCAGTGAGTAACACACTTCTTGCTTGCTAAATTGTGTCGTAATAAATTAAAAAAAAAGGTAGCAAGAAAGTTGTTAGCCTAAAATAATTACGTATGCGTGTCTGTATCTTCCTGCTAACTCTGCGTTAGTTTTACGAGCTTCGTTTATCAGACAATGGGAATAATCTCCCAAAGCAGGTGAGGTCACCTTATTTCTTCTCTCAGAGCAGTGTTGGGAAGGTGCCTGCCCATAGGGGACATCTGTGTGCTCTGCGCACCCCAGGAGCAGCTGGGGGAACCCAGGCTCCATCACCCACTGGGAAGGGATTTCCCTGCAGTGGGGTGTACTGGGGGGCACCCAAAACGCCCTTCAGAGGAGCTGCTCTGCTGCATTCGACTGCTTGGGACCTAGCTCAGCTGTCAAACAGCTGAATTTTATTTCCCTCATGTTTATCCCTCGTGCAGAGCTGCCAGCGACTCGGACTTGATCTCGCCTCCAAGTTGTCTTTGTCCTTTCCCAACGCGCTGTGCATTCAGTCATTGAAAAGCAGACCCTCTCCAGAAGAGGGGGAGGAGGCACAAAGAGAAACTAGCCGTGCTGCCTGCTCCTCCATCACAAAAGCTGTGGCAGGGGGGTTCCGTGCTGCCCCCACAGGCAGAGGGGTTATGGGTTAGGGTTAGGGTGAGCACGGAGCTGCGGGAGGGGCAGGGTGTGGGGTGACACCGTGCCGGCTGCCAGCAGCTGGGGCTCAGCCACCAGCTCACATACAGGCTGCTTGTGGAAGTCGGAGTGTTTCTCTCTTACCCTGCAATTAGATCTCATTCCCATCATTGGAACCAGCAGGCATTTCCAGGGGAGGGATGGGGGGACTGGAGGGTCCCCCGGGTCCCCTGTGCCTTCCCAGCACCGCAGTCCCCTGCCAGCACTCCTCCTGGCCGTGCCGAGCTGTACCTCCTGCACCTCCATCCCTCGCCGAGCAGGGCCCTGCCGCAGGCACGCAGGCACCGCAGAGCTGCTGCCCTGCCCCGCTGTCACCTCGGGGAAAAATAAACATGAAATGGTTTAATAGCGGTTTGGCATCGCTGAGCCGAGCCGTCCCTCAGGAGTACCGGGTACGGGGTATCAGATAATGCTGCCTTTATTTATCGGAGGGCGTAGCAGCACGGAGGGGCCTCTGCGAGTTTTCTGTTTAAAAAAATATGCTTTCCTCTCTTTTTCTAGCTAGTGAACTTAAAATATTAATACGTGAGGGACTTCTTGCTGCTTTGCTGTTGGGAAGAAATGGCGTACAGCTGCGTGCTCCTGTTCAGAGTCATGAAATTTGTGTCTCTTTGGAGGTTTTTGTAAGTTCAGAGAGCCAACGAAGCACAGAGGCATATTGTAAGTAATTCTAACACCTCTGTTTGCTAGCACACGCTTCTTCCCAGATAGCCGTATTAGCATGCAGCTGGCACGGAGCCATCCCCAAAACAACTTCCCTATTTTTAGACTATTGTTGTGTGAGTGAAGATCCCCTGTGCGAGTAACACGCTGTAAAGTGAATCATGGAAAAGATCTTGGGCACTGAATAGTCAGCAGCAAAATACTAGGGGAAAAAGGGGTGGGGAGGGTGGAGGGGCTGAGAGCACGAGAGGCACCGAGCAGCCCCTTCCTTCCTGCAGCTTTTGTAGCCCTGTGCCTGGGGCGTCATTGAGAAATCTGGGCTGGGAGCACCACCGAGATCATCTCTGACTGTGCTTGGTCATCCGTGGGACATGCAGTTAGCTAAACAAACGTGTCTTTTTTATTTATTTTTTTTTATTAAGATAAACCTGTGACACCAGTGAGATTGTCGCTCTGTGCTGGAGCTGCTGGTATCAGGGGTAGTTGCACAGCCCTTATCTCCGAGGTCTGCGTGGCCAGGTTTGCTGAGGCATTGCTCTGCTGCAGGACAGCTCCATCTCTCGGCGCTGGGTCAGACAGATTCCTATCTCTGGGTTTGTACCTTTTGTCGTCAGGAAATTCTGGAGAATCTTGTTCAGCGTGCACGGAGGAACTGAGTAATGACTTTCCCTGAGTACGGTAGCATCTGAACAGTGCAGGTAGATGCCAGCTTCTCCTCTTCCTTCCTCCCTTGTATTTTCCCTCTTCATCTGCGGCTCAGCCTTGAATAATTGCAGCACTCTGCTCTCTGTCCCTGCTCTTCTGAACTCAGCCTGCCTTTGCTGCTTCTTTATAGAAAGGAAATTAGGAAGCTGTTTGCTTATCTCTTGGCTTCAGCTGGTGCCATCGACCTGAGACCCCATTAGGATTTGGCTGCTCTAACGCTTCCTGGTCCCCAGACACCTGCGTTCCCCCACAGGGCTGTGTCCCTCCTGCCACCAGCTGGCCACAGGCTGCTTCAGCGGGGTCCCAGCGCTGGGGACAAGGAGCCTGAGCTGCCAGAACAGTGCTCAGAGGGCACCGAGGTGTCCCACAGGGAGGCCATCCCCTCACAGCAAGGAGAAAACCATCTTTGTGCAGCTCGTGCGGGTGCTGCGTGACTTCCCCCCGCTGCTGATTTTGATCTCTGGCAGCGCGCCGTTCCCAGGGCACGGCTGAGTGTCTGGGGAAAAAAATAAAAAAAAAGAAGAAAGCAGAAGTAAAAACCAACTTGATTGTCAGTCTCCTGCCTCCTGCGCCTTCCTCCCATGCACTGTTTTGACAGTAAACAGCACGGCTCCGAAACACCTCTCCTTTATCTCAAAGGTGTCAGCTGCTGCCTGTCTGCGGGCAGGAGGAGGCACGGGGCGCAGTGCTGGGAGAGGGCAGGCACCCCCACCTGGTCCGTACAGCCCTCGGTTTTAGTATTAATTAGCACCGAACCTTCTTTAGATTCATCTCCTGCCAAACAGCGTGTCGCCGTCCTTGCTCGTCCCCCCTCCGCAGATTTACGTATCCGGAGTCGATGGCCCTGCGGGGCCTGATGGCTCTGCCCTAATGGGAGAGGTTCCCCCGATGCGGAGCGGGATGGAAATTGGAAGGGGGTTTGTAACGCGTTGCTTTGAAGAGGCAGGCTGGTGTGTATTTTCTGCCGTCTGGTTTTCATCCTCAATGGCAGCGGCAGCGTTTGGATTACCGAGATGAAATAATGAAAGCTGTTTTCCTTGGATTTACTCCCAAGCATTCCAGTTGGTTTTATGGCTTCTGAAATGAAGTTTGTCGTCCTTTTTAATTGGGCCAAGTTTAACCTTATGTTCCCATTTAGCTGGTTTTGCTGGTCTCCTAAAGAGCGGATCTGAGCCTGTTTGGTGGAAACCCAGCGACCTGCGGGGAGGAACCCGCTATCGACCTGCCGGCACGGATCACGGGTGCGCGCAAAAACGCTCGGACAAATCCCGTTGAGTCCACATGAAGGCAGAACAGAGCCACCTCCAAACGCTGTATAAATAGCAGGTCTGAACCACAGATGCCATCCACGCCCCTTCCCATCCGTTCGGATGAGTGTGCCACCGCATATCCCCCACGCAAATAAGGCCGAAGGAGATGGCCGAGACGTGGGACACGCGGCGCCCCAAAGGTTCCCGCTCGCTCGCAGACACCAAGCAGCCCCCGTCAGAGCCACGAGGACCAGATAGTTTTTGGCGTGGTGCAGCGCTCCGTGCCAAACTTCAAAGCTCACCGAGCGCCGATGTTTTTCCTCGCAGCCCCTTCCCGTGCGCGGGGTGCCGCCCCGAGAGCCGGCAGCCCCTTTTCCACGCGGCCCCCGGTGCAGAGCCGTGGGCAGTGACATTTTGCACGCCTCCACGTCTCCCCTGCCCAGGATGCAGGTGGTGATGCCCTGCTGGGAGGTGTGTGTGTGTCAGCTTGCCCGCGGAGGCGTCGCTGACCCCGTGCCAGCAGGCGTGCTGTGCCACCGCACCCTGCGCGGGGACCCGCCGGCACCTCGGCACCGGCACAGGGAGCGAGGCACGGAGCTGGCACGGCCCTCGGCAGCTCTCCGAGGGGCTGGTGGCCGAGGGAAGCAGGCGAGGCCGCAGCGTGAGCATGCTGCAGAGCGCGTGCCTCTGGCGGAGCCTCGCCTTGGAGCCGTGCCTGGTAATTGGGGAGGATTTCACATCTGGCGGAGCTGGTGCGGGCTTGCCGTGGGTTTTTAAGCTGTGTTTGTGTGTTGCTGCTTGGCAGGCTCGGGCTGTAACTCTTTCAGTCTCACGAGCTGGCTTAGGGGAGCTCAATAAGACTGCTCCAGCCCTGTTGCCTCCTTGCAGCAGCAACCTCCTGGCTGCACCCTAGCGAGAGCGTGTTTAAAGGCAGGTACACCCCGTGCTCCCGCTGTGAACGGGCCCAGGAGAGGATGGGTCGGCTGTTCCCACGTGAACACGAACAGCAGTGCTCTGAGGAGCTGAAAACACTGAAATACATGCTGGAGCTGCAGGTTTTCCATGTGACATTTCCATCCCTGCTGCCCCACGGTTCAGGGTGGAATTGCTGGCCTCCTGCAGCACCCAAAGCCCAGGAATCATCCACCTCACCTCTCCTAATCCGTGCTTTGCCCCTCTGGTTTTTCCTACAGCTATGGGAGAGTACGAAACTGCTGAGCCAAGCTCGGTGTGGCTGCCCTACCTGGGTGCCTCCGTTCCGTGTGTGCTTGCTGGCCTGCAAGTTGGTGCAGCCGTGCGGGTGGAAAGCTGCCAGTGCCGGGAGGTGCGGGGGGAGGACCCCAAAGCCCTGCTGTAGAATTGCTTAGGTTAAACAATACATGTAGGAGACATCGGTTCCTTCATGTGGAGTTGCTTATCAGGACTTTCTTCAGTATATACTGTTGTATAGTTCTTTTTTGGGGTGGTTTGCTGTAAATCAAAGCTATTTCAGTGTCAATATAAGGTAAATCCTGCGCTGCAATGTCGCTGCTTCCCGAAGCAGAAGGACCTACAGCTGCGTACCCTCGCGTTACCTGCAGAAAGTGTGGGTAACAGCCCGGCTGCTTGCTCCTCTGCCAACCCACAGTGAAGTCTGATGGACTCTTTTGGTCAACTGTCTGCCTCTGCAACTGTCTCTGCTCCAGTTTTATGGGAATTATTGTTCCTAATGCTGTATGAATAAGTAATGCTCTTTGCCCACAACCATCGGTGTCTAACCAGCTCCGTGTTTCCTTCCTCTTGCAGAAGAAAACGCAGAAATCACCCTGGATGTGTCGTTAGCGTATCGCGATAACATGTTTGATGAATGGGAAGAAATAGCACACGCGATAGAGATCAGGAAGCTGAAATGCACCTTTGGCTCTCCAAAGGTAAGGTGTTCTGATGATGCTGGGGGTGGGCTGGGGTGGGAGTGTGATGGGAGTTGTTCTCTTCCTTTCCTTTGTGGTGCTTTGTAGGATTGTTCAGTTATATTTTTCAGGCTTGTCACCTTTCTCTTGGCTTAAAATCTTTGAAAATCTAATTGAAAATCTGATGAGCTCTAAATGCAGCTTGGCTCCCTTTGTGGCACAAGAGAAAGGGTGAAGCCAGGTGGTGAGGAAGAAAAGGTGGGAGGTCAATGCACAGACCCAGGTGCAGGCAGAATTGTCCTCTAACGTTGTGGTCTGGCTGAAAGTTAAAAGCTTTGGGCTCTGTTTACCCAAAACCATTCCAGAGAACCTGGACCTGTCCATCTGGTGCTTCTGTGGTGGACAAAACCTTGTTCTTCAGGAGGAGCAAGGAAACAGCCCATCAGGGACACTGCAGCACTCACAGAACGGGGAGAGGTGGGGTGGGAGTTTCTTAAAACAACTTCTTAATGCCTCAAGCTGCAATCCTATAAGTGACGAGCACAACTAGCAATGACCCAAAACAATCAGAAACTTAAGGAAAAAGGTCCCCAACCCACTGATGAGTCTCCAGACTTGCACAGATTCTCCCCAGGCCTTCGGAGAAGGTGGGGGTGAGCAGATGGTCTCTCGGTGCCAATAATGCTCTTGGGCAAGCTGAGTTTTAGTGCCTGTGTGGCCGCCCCCCACTCAGGACGTGGCTGACCGCGGTCTTGCCACTTTGTGCCCTTTTTGTTAGACCCTGGAGTCCGAAGGCCGTCACTACGACTGCGACTTCCTCCCCTTCATGGAGATCGGCAGCGTGGCTCACAAGTACTACCTCATCAACATCCGTCTGCCCGTGAACGAGAGGAAAGGCATCAATGTGGGCATTGGGGAGATCAAGGACATCCGCCTGGTGGTAAGTGTCTGCCTCGCTGCCCCTCCTCAGAGGGACTGTGCCCCGCGGTGCAGCCCCTGGTTCTCCTCCCTGATCCACAGCAGGAGTCCTGCTCTTCTCCATGGGTAGCTTCTGCCTGCAAATGTGCCCGGCGCCCCAGCTTTCCTCCTTCACAAGGGGTCCATCCCTCTGAGGGATGGTGCAGGGACCTGTCTGCCTGTCAGGGATGAGAGCACGGGGAGATGAGACACAGACCAGCAGGGCTCAGAGGGGAGCAGCTCTCTCTCAGAGCTGGCTATCCCCAAACAGATGCTGGAGGTGGCACTCAGCTGTCCTTGCTGCTGCCCTCCCGTGCTGGAAAGCCTCCTCCTGCTGTCCCTTTCACAGCGGTCAGCCAGCAGGCTGTGGTGGCTGCAGACGGCGGTGGGAGGGCTTGTGTCTGGAGAAATGCATTAATTTGGCCACTGCGTTGCCCACCAGCGGTGACTGAGCTCCGTGACTATCTCGTTACTCGTCTGAGCAGTGCTGGCAGTTTTTTCCACGCTGTGTCAGAAGTGCCGCTCTCGCAGACCGCTTCCCACCTCGCCGTGGACGCTGTGGGTTTTGGCATTTGCTTCCAACGGGGCTTTTGAAGCCTGCTCAGATGGGCTGGATGCTGTGTGGGCAGCTGCTCCCTTCCCTCTGGTGGTCAGACCGCGGCTTTCAAAGAGTGGCTGTGTCTGCATGTGCTCGCATGTCGAACGCTGCGATGTGCGTGCCTCTCCTGCCAGCCCTGTAAGCTTGTCACGTTGCACCTCGTTTCTCCTTAGGGTATCCATCAAAACGGAGGCTTCACGAAAGTGTGGTTTGCCATGAAAACCTTCCTCACCCCCAGCATTCTGATCATCATGATCTGGTACTGGCGGCGGATCACGCTGATGACACGCGCTCCTGTCCTGCTGGAGAAGTGAGTCGGGGGGCACGTGTGCCTGGCTGGGGTGACCCTGGCCGAGGTGGAGGATGCTCCCAGGCAGGGCACGTCTTTGGGGGACAGGATTCCTCTCTTCTCCCTCTCCTGTCCACTCCCTCCACCCAGGAGCACCCAGAAACCTCAATATTGTCACTGCTTCCCCACTAACCCCCCAGAGAAGATGTTGCGTTTACCCGTGGCTGCTTGGAGGAGCTCAGTGCCAGGGGCTTTGCTGGCACGAGGTGCCACCTCCTGGCCCTGGTGACAATCTGCTGCCCCTGCCTGAACAGTGCGGGGTTTTCTTGTCCCGCACTGGGTACACCTCTAGCTGCTATGGTTCTGTGTTTTCTCCCTGCAAACTGGAAATAGATGGAGGTAGTGTTTCTCCCTCTGCAGGGTGATTTTTGCTCTGGGAATTTCCATGACGTTCATTAACATCCCGGTGGAGTGGTTTTCCATCGGCTTTGACTGGACGTGGATGCTGCTCTTCGGAGACATTCGACAAGGCATTTTCTATGCCATGCTCCTGTCGTTTTGGATCATCTTCTGCGGAGAGCACATGATGGTGGGTGTGACAGAAAGGCAGGTGGTTGCCGTGCCCCCTGCCCCTTGCAGCAATGCCTGGCAGCTCCCTTTTCCTCACTGGTGGGGATTTGGAAGCGGTTTGGGATTTGGGGTTTCGTTCCTGGTGAGAGGACTGCTGGCTAACTCGCTCTTCCTCATTTCTCCTCCTCCTGCCCACCTCCTGACCCTTCGATTAGGACCAGAACGAGCGGAACCGCCTCTCGGGGTACTGGAAGCAGGTTGGACCCATAGCTGTCGGCTCCTTCTGCCTCTTCATCTTCGACATGTGCGAGAGGTGGGTTCTGCGCTGCCCTGGGGATGGAGGGCAGGCCGAGGCCGGTGGCCACCTCTGAGCACGGGGCTCGAGGTGCCTTTGGGGAACGAGAGCTTCGATCCTTGGGGCTGGATTCCCTGCCTCATGAGGAGGGAGAGGGCTCCCAGTGAAGACGCTGAGGCCTTTGGGCACTTCACAGCAGCACATCTTGGCCCAGGAAGACACGTGTCCACCTTGTGTCCTCCTCGCCCACAAGGGAAAGCAGCACAGGGGCTCTGCCAGCCTCTTGGCCTCCATGGCAGTTCTGTGTTTTCTCTCTTCGCAGGGGAGTGCAGCTGAAAAACCCCTTCTACAGCATCTGGACCACCGAGGTCGGCACGGAGCTGGCTGTATCCTTGACGGGGCTCTGGCAGGCCCACGTGCTCGGGGTGGGTAGAGGTGGGAGACGAGACCTTCCTCCTCCTGGCTGAGCTGTGTGGTGGGGCTCGGGCGTTGTGGGGAACCCTGGAGGTGGCTGCAAGAGGTGGTCGTGGTAGGTTTGGTGCCAGGTGCCTCCGGCACCAGTGCTGTGCTTGGGGACATCGAGGTCTGGGAGGCAGCACGGGGAGATCCAGGTCAAGGGTGTCCATCGTGGCCACCCCACAGGGGTTATTGATGACCTTCCTGATCATATCAGAAGTAAATCACCTGAATAATGTTTTCTGTCACTTCATGTCACTTTCCTTTAACCTGCGCTGCTCAGATGGCCTTTATTATAGTTGCAGGAATCTGCTTGTGCCTTTATTTTCTCTTCCTGTGTTTTATGGTCTTCCAAGTTTTCAGAAACATCAATGGAAAGCAGTCAAGCCTGCCGGCAATGAGCAAGGTTCGCTGTCTTCATTATGAGGTAGGCACTCCTTCTTGTACCATTTGTGTTTTCACAAAGCATTTTCACCCTCAAGGACTGCACTAAACCCTTCGCCGTCAGTACAGGCCTGAACTGGAAAGCCTGATCCTCAGCTGCTCAAGTCCCCCAGCTGCCTTTTGTTCCTTTCAACTGCTGTTACGTTTTTTCCTGTATTTGGCTCTTTGGTCCTGATACAACATTTTAATCCCTCAGGAGGGTGTGTAAGCCAGCTCTCTTTTTGCCTTTTTTTTTTTTTTGAGTGGCTGTCATCTCCCAGTTTATCGATGTGTGTTGGGGGATAGAATAAAATTGCTCAAACTGCCCTTTAAATTACTACAGGGAGAAAGTGCTCCCTGTCCCTCAGTCTCTCCTTCTCTAATAATAATGATTCTGTTTAATGGCAAGTATTACCAAAACCACCTATTTTTTTCCATGGCACAAATTCAGATTTATGGGGTAGTCCTAACTAAATCACAGGAGAGAAACTGTCACACAAAGGTCAAAACCGGACTTGCTCAGCTCATTTTCCCCTTTTTCAGCCTGTAATTTTGTATGTTGTTTCTGCCCTGGCTGTCCTCAAGCTGCTGCAGAACATGAGGAGCTCTCTCTAGCTGCTTGAGCTGGGAGAGCCTCTTGTTTTCATGGCTGCGTAAATATTTATAACCAGCATTGTTGTGTATAACGATGGTCACTTCTGGTTTCAACAGGCTGGTTATCACCCATCAGGGATGCACATGAAACATAGAAAATCAGACTTGAGAGAATTTGCACAAGATATTCAGCTTTTTTTTTCCATCTTTCCCTTTAGCAAGAGGCACAGGATGTTAGCTTGTGTTGTAGAGCTGTTTCGGCCGTGCTGTAACTACAACCATCTGGCAATGCACGAATCTGGCCTGGAAGAGTTAAACTAATGGTCATTTGTTGTCACTGTGGAGCTCAGTAATGACGCACACACAGACATTTCCATCAAAATTCCCCAAATGGTTTAAAAAAAAAAAGAAGAAGAAGAAAAACAAAACCAAAACAATTTTTAAGTGAAAACTTAAAACTATCAAGAGCAAATCCAGTACGTGGTACGATTCCCAGCCAAGAGATTTTGAGCCATAAAGTTTCTTATAATTTACATTCTTTTGTAGTGCACAAAGTAATTTTGACAAGCGTTCAGAATTGCTGCAGTTTTCCTGCCAGAGGGACTCTGGAGGTGGGGATTAGCCCATACAGACCCCTGCTATCACCGTACAAGTGTCCCGTTGTCTTGCTAAAACCCGAAATCTCTCCACAGATGTTTGTTTAATGAAAGCTGTGAGCTATCAGGTAGGCTGTCCCTTGGACGAAACCCATAGCTCAGGCTGACCTGCCTCCTCTCTCACATTAACTCTTTGTAAATCAGTCACAAAGGCAGCTGTAATGGAAAGCAAGAGCTGTCCAGACATGCACACCCTGCTCGGAGCATCGGGGAGGAATGCAGACGTGTGTGGGGAACGGAGAATATTGGCTGTCATGAACGCAGCACGAAGGAGTGGGTGGAGGTTGTTTTGGTTTGGGGTTTCGTGGGTTGGACCCTTTTTTTCCTTTTCCTTTTTTTTTTTTTTTTATACTCGTGTCTTGTACATGCTAAAAACAAAAATGGGTTTTTGTGGATTCTGTTAACGTGACCAGTGACATTTCTCTCTAAACAGGGGCTGATTTTTAGGTTCAAGTTCCTGATGCTCATCACCCTGGCGTGTGCAGCAATGACAGTCATCTTCTTCATCGTGAGCCAGGTGAGCGTGACGAAATTCAGCTGCGTTTGAGAGCATCAGCCTTAAATTCCCCGCGTGCTAGGAAGGTTGGGCTACCTGCAGCTCAGAGAGACCAGGCCTGTGTCTTACAGTTCGCTATATAAGTTGCTTTTTAAGAAGTTGTTTTCATGTGTTTGAAACACTGAAACTTCCACAAAGGCCTTTGGCACACAGGGTCTGTGTTTTTTGAAATATCAGCCAAAACAGTTTAGTCATTTCTGAGAACTCAGCAAGAGCAAAAATGTTCTGTTCACATTAAAAGAATCTGGTGGCTTTTATACCCACAAAGAAATACCAGAATTCAGCCTGTCCTGGTTTTGACTTTGCAACCCTGTTGTTTCTAGCAAGATAGATACCCAGTTATTGCGAGCTGTGGTGCAGCCTCTCTGTACGCATGAGCTGATCTAGCTGTTTAAATGCACTTTGATGGTTTACTTCAAGTAACAGTCTGCTGGTAAGTGACATCTTTGAAACAGATGCTATCTTATGGTTGTTCCTAAGCAGAAGCAGCTTGTAGTTTCAGAACAGTTGTACAGCCTTGCAAATCCAACGTTACAGAACTGCATCTGCAGGAGCAGGGTCTCACTCGCTGCATCCCTTACGCTTTGGGGTATGCTGGTGGGTCCCAATGGAAAACCCAGCAGCAGATGATTTTGCTCGTAAAAATCTGTTAGGCTGAAGCACTGGTATGAGAAATGCCACTTGGCAATTCAATTAATCACCGAGTATTAATGACTGTAGCTGTCACCGCGTATGGGCGTAACACAAACGATCTTGTCCAGCTCCTCTTTTCCAGCTAAGCTTTTGTCTTGCCCTGAAGGCAAGGTTGTGCTGCTGCGGCTCCTCCTTGGAGCAGAACAACATCCTGGTGTTTTCTCAGGAAAGCTCTTCCTGTCAGGAAAAGGCATGCTGCTGCCTTGTGTCTCTCCCTTTAATGGCAAGCCAGCACTGCACTGTGAACAGTGTGTGCGTCTTCAAGTGATATTAATATTGATGATATTTTGGTAAGTCTTGACAGATCTCCATGTCTGAGGCTGATGCAGTCAGCCTGGGCCTCTCTCGTGAGGCAGCAGCAGCAAGAAGGCATTCAGCACGTTCGCTTTTCACATTATTCATGCTGCTTCCCCTTGTACAGGAGGCCTATTTATAGAAGTCTGATGTTCTCAGATGTAAGGAGTTGTCTCTGAGGTACTGCCCTTCGTGTGCCAGCCTTTGCTGAACACGCCAGCTTTGACAGCCATCTATTGCAGCACGTGAAGGATTGTGCCACGGTTAGGAATCAAAGTTATAGGGATCCTGGTGCAAACACTTGAAGTACCATTTTTCCTGCATGCTGGTGCAGAAGAAGAGAGTGCCCCCCTGCCTGGGTGACTGACTGTTGTGCATAAATTGTCTTCATCCTGGGGAACCGAGGCTTTTTTTGTGGATTTGCTCCAAGCCAGAGCCTCAGGGGTCACATCTGTGTGTGATTCCAGCCTCGCTGACCGTCTGCTTTCTCACGGGCAGGTGACAGAAGGCCACTGGAAGTGGGGGGACATCACGATCCAGGTGAACAGCGCCTTCTTCACCGGCATCTACGGGATGTGGAACCTCTACGTCTTCGCGCTCATGTTCCTGTACGCGCCCTCACACAAGAACTATGGGGAGGATCAGTCAAACGGTAAATGGCTCCGAATCATCTACGTGTGAAAGTTACCACGGGAAGGCAGTGACATAAAGTGGGGGTTATTTTTGTGTATCTTTCTTGCCAAAGTGCCCGTGCAGCACACTGAAATGTTATGTAAACGAGGGTTTGTTCTTCAAAGCACTGCTGTTCCAGCAGACGTTTTAATTATTGACTAGGCTAGACAGGTTTGAGTATTCAGGCACGGCTGTCTAAAACCTTTTAGCTCGGTTTTTGTGATGTTTTGGTATTGCCCAGTTGTGACTGCATAGCTCAAACAGGAGTGGGAAAAGGATTGGAACTGGGGCAAGGGGAGAATGGCAGTGCTGTTGGTTTCCTTCTGGTGGCCTCCAGTAGCACCGAAATCTTCATCTGCCAACATGCCCACATCTAAATGACCTCAAATAAAAGCGTTGATAGAAACTGTGCATAGAACATAGTTCAGGTAGCTCCTGAGAGCCTGGGCTGAACAAAACAGATCTTTTTGCCTTCTAATTGCACAACACTGTACGGTGAGGGCAGTCTGACGGCATCACTGTTTCTCAGGTGACCTGGGAGTGGGCAGCGGCGAGGAGCTCCAGCTCACCACCACCATCACCCACGTGGACGGCCCCACGGAGGTTTACAAGCTGGCTCGCAAGGAGGCTCAGGAGTAAGGCCAAGATCCCGGCGGCTGAGACGCGAGACAAAGTGGAGTACACAGGACGACACAACGCCCTCCTGCAGGAGATGTGTCCGACGTAACTTGCTTTCTGAGCACCCAGCATCTAGTGTATTTTCACAGAGCAGTGACGCCGAGCATAACATTTGTAAACTCTTTAATATGTTGTAGTTATTTCTGGGGGGAGGGATATGTATATTGTGTTACACTCGAGCACGTAAAAACCTGCTAGAAGAGCATTAATGTTGCAAAGTCACACGTTCGGGCGGTACAAGTGGCAGAGCTGGGTGATTTCTGCTGGGCTCTGTGTGTGTGTGCCTGCGCATGAGGATGGGGAGGACAGAGCAGAACTAAGGCTTCGTTTTGAAAACATTTAATTCAATGTACAAACTGGATTGCAGGAGAAACGTGTGCTCCTGTCCCAGTGCCCAGAGGTACTGATCTCACAGCCAGCTCCTGCCTGTTCTCAGCCCCGTTGGCTCCCCTCGCTCTAGTCTTCCTCTGTCTCACCTTTTTGATACATCTCCTTCATTTTTCTGCTGCTTACGTACCAGGGGCAGAAGAGCAGGGCCCCAGGGCGGGAGTCAGGCCCTTTGCAGGGGAAATCCACGTGGCACACGCTCACGCAGACGTCTGCTCTTCAGCCATGCTGTGGCTGCTGCTCTGACTCAGAGGGCACTGGGAATCGCGTGGGGTGGAGGCTGAAACTGGGCTGTGCTGGGGACCAGTCACGAGGCTTGTTGGTGGCTCGGACACAGCCAGAAGGGTCGGTGCTGCTCCGGACCCACCTTCTTGTAGGGCCTGGGAGAGAACTTGAGGACACGGCTGGCCTTGGTACCTGGCACTAGCACGTCTGAAAACCCCCAGTAACACACAGCTCAACCTCCCCACCCCGCTTTTGTCCCCACAAGGTAACCTGGTGCTGCTCTCTGTTGCATTTCCCAGCGGGACCACTGCCCCAAATGCATTGCTCTGCTGCAGCCCCAGGAAGAACAGCACTCAAGTGGCAGTAAGATGCCCTGAATTGGAGCTACAGCTCTGAAGGAGAGGCTAGCACAGGTCATCTTCTATCCCCTCAGCTGCTGAGAGCCCCAGGCTGTGCACCGTTTGGGGGAAGTTTGTATCTCTGTAAAGCAGGACACTGATGCCCCTGGGGGAATAGTTATAGGGAATGGTTAAAGGAAATGAAAAAGGAAGGGGGCACGCTTATTGTAGAGCACAGAGCAACTCCTGGGACCACACCTTCAGCATGGATGGCGACATGCAACCCAGTATGCCATTTACCTACAGAAACGAGTGCTGGGGAGAGCAGGCACGATGCACAGCAGCAGTTCTGGTGCAAAGTGGGTTAGAGTTGTGCCCACAGCCACAACTCCCTCGTTGCCCTGGCTGAGCGCTCGACTTTGCAACGTTAACGTCCTTTTTACGTTGGGTTCTTACGTGATATTTATGTTGTTCCCATAGATGTGTCCATGGTTTCTTTTACAGCTTAGGATAGCATTGCATTTTGTAAAGGCTCTTTACAGACGGGGCATTGCAGCTTTAAAACCAAATTTTGTGTCAAACACTAACAATTTGTTTACGGGGTGTGTGTCTGTGTGAGCGTGCGCGCGTGCGTGTGTACTTTTTTTATTTCTTAATTCCTAAGCCCTACTCATCTGTCTCGGAAATAGTCCCTGGGTCTTATTAAAATATATTCTTTTTTTTGTTTAGGTTGAGTTCACTTTTTACAGAATGCTTTTAAGCAACCTGGAAAACGTGTAGATTTGTTAATTTAAATAAAATATACCATATTGTGGATTTCTCATTGGCCTGGCTTTTCTCTCTCATCTCTCTTCGAACACTTTGTGGTGCAGACACGCGGGGCTTTGGCACCACGGGCTGCTTGTCCTTCAGCCCTTTGCTCCGGGACTGTTAGCAGCACCACTTCTCCCTCGTTTTGGGAGGCTCTGCTGGGATCCTGCCACGGAGCTGACAGCCCTGGAGAGGACGTGAGGCGTTGGTTTGGCACTGCACAGCCCTTTGGTTTTCCTTCAGCTCTTCCACCACCTCAGAAATTGGGCGTCTGCCTCCATCTGCTGCTGAATTCGGAAGGCGCAGCCACTTGCTGCCCATGCTTTGGGAAGGGTCCTGGGGTTTAGCAGCACGGGACAAAATCCAGCCCGTTCCAGCACCATTTCAGCAGCTCAGGCAGCTGCAAGCAGCTGCTGCAGCAGCGATCACACCATTTCCATCCGCAGCCTGGGAAGGAAAGGTTCCCAGCCCTTGTGCTTGGGGAGGCTGCAGTGTGGCAGCCACCAGCCTGGGTGTGGAGCTGTGCAGGGCTCTGCTGGTTTCCCCAGGGCACATTTTGGGAGCCGGTATCTGCAGGCTCCGGGGGCTGCGGAGCTCCTCGGCCGCCCTCTGCCGGCACCGGGCTTCAGAGCTCGAGTTTTAAATGGGATGGGAGGTTTTAGCCTGGCTGCAGTTGCTGGCTCCTTCTGCCTTCAACTTTTACATGTGAGAGGTGCTGGAGCTCCGCAGGCTGAGCCTCCCCCGAGTGGTGAGCAGGGGCTGAGCATCTCCTGATGCTCTTGGCCATTTCCCCGCTGTTTTGGGCCAGCCTGGTCTCGTGGAGAGGGAACGGGCTCCCACTGACGTTGCTGGAGCATCCCGGCATCCCACAGCAGCACATCTTGTCCTGTAGCACCAGAAAGAAACGCTTCCCACCTCGCTGCATCCTCACCCACCAGGTGAAGCAGCACGGGGGGAGCTGGGTGCTGTGCTCAGGATGTCCCCGTGCAGCAGCACAGTGGCTCCAGGTGCTGGATGCCCTCGTGGTGTCCTCTGAGGGTGACACACTGCTGGGTGACAGCATCCTACAGCTCCTCTGAGCCCCATCCCTCTGTGCCTGGGGTGTGGGGCAGCAGCCCCTGGCTGAAGTGGTCAAAATGCTGCCCTGCTTTTTGGCTGTGTCTTCACCTGGAGCCAGGGATGGGTACACCCACTGCGACGGCCAGGAGTCCCTACCTGTCCCAGCAGCACCCCAGGCAGTGCTGCCCAAAAATTGGGCGCTGTGACTGCAGGAGGTGAGGCCCGGAGGCAGCAGAACCTCGTGTACAGCAGCACAGAAAGCGAGGGCTGCCCTTCTCCCAGCTCCACGAATCCTCCCGGATGATACCAGGGGAGGCAAAACAGCACACGGTGCCTCCCCCCTGCTCTGCTCGCCCAAGGGGCTCTGGCAAGCGGCTGCTTCCCATTTCAGATGGAAAATCTGGTGGCTGTCAGCTCCGGCCCGAGCAAACCCTGACCAGCAGCGGGGCACGGAGCCAGCAGCTGGTGGCCACATCCTTCCTCTGGCCGCCTGCTCTGCCCTTCCCAAGGCAGGGGCTCCGCGTCGCACCCTCTCTCCCCTTCCCACCCCTTCCCCTGCTGAGGCTGGCGATGTCCATGCCCAGATGTGTCCCCGCTGGGTGGCTCGCAGCTCCCTTCCCATGACACTCAGGGGAGAGGCCAGGGTCAGGCAGGGAGCGGTGATCCGCCCGACATCGTGCCACGCTTGGGAAAGGTTGTTTGGAATCGGGATATCTGCCTCTGAGCAACAGGGACCAGCCAAGAGAGCGGGTAAGCTAATAATTGCTAGTTAGCATTTCCTTGCGGCTAATAAATACCTCATAAACACCAGAAATGATGTTTTAGAAATTGTCTCTGGAAATCCCCGTTAATGACAGGATTCGGGCGAAGCGGATGCTCGGCGGGCTGTGAGCACATCTCCCTGCCTGGCCCGACGGGAGCCAAGGGCCAAGAGCTGGGCACGGCCTCTGCCTGCCGGAGAACATCGGGGAGGATCGGGATGGAGCAGAGGCTGTGTCAGCAGCCCACGGGGAGCGTGCCAGGCATGGGTACCACATGCTAAGGGCTCAGCCTTCGTGCCGCAGCCCGGGGAGGGCAGATCTGGTGGAGGGGACATTTGATGGGAGGGCAGAAATGGGCACGGAGGAGCTGGCTGCCAGCTGCCCTGCGGCAGGGACGTTTGGGATTACATCAATGTTTTAAAACCAAGATGTTTGGGGGTGGCAGGAGCCTTACCAACACCAAGAGAAAAGGGCTGCTGAAGGAGGGAGCGTGCTAACATGGAAGCTTCTTGAGAAAAATCCTCCGGGCTTTTTGGGTTAGGCACAAACACCAGGGTAGAACGAAATAGCTCCAAAGCCCCCTCCCACCCTTGTTCGTTTGCTTTTGTTTTGCTCTAGGGCAGGGTCAGGCATTACGAGGCCTCTTGGTAAGGGTGGAAGTGGATCCGAAACAGGTGGGAGGACAGCATGGAGTCAGAGATGCACCGAGAAACAGAGAGGTAAGAAATGGTAGCCTGGAAATCCACACAAAGCTTCGGAAAAACAAGCTTGGGTTAGGACCAAAAAGTGGTGCTTTTGCCTCGATTCTCTCCTTGTGGGGCACACTCCCTCTGTTCCAGGGTTCATCTGAGACCGTCTGTAAACGTGCTGCTCTCCAGATCCTGTTCCAGCCATGCCAGGAGATTTATAGAGCTTTTTCTGTGCCATGTGCAAGCAGTTGCAATCCCAAGGTCGTCCTCCATCACACCAAACCCTCCTCCTGCCGGGATGGGGGCACTCAGTGGCGTGCCAGCACACACAGAGATGACCAGGCCGTAATTATGGCTTTGAGACCACGGCTTATTAAACATCCTCAGCTCTGTATGTTGGGATAAGCAATTATTTCTTAGGTACCATCAGTGAGTTCACCCTGCGAAAGTGACGGTCACTGCCAGTCTGTGCAGGGAGCCCGGGGCAGCTGGGGCAGAGGGGGAGCGTTTGATGTCCAGGACTTGCCACCAAAGGGCCACACAGTCATATGCTGAGGAGGATAATCACATCCCTGGAGTCCCTCAGAAGTACTTTATTTGCCCCTTTTAGAGCTGTTTCCCCCCCATCACCTGTGATCCACAGAACCAGGGGAAACACCAGGGGCACCATCTTCAACCACGTTTTCATTTACAGCTTCTGTGAGAAACAATTTGTAGGATAGCTTGGGTGAGCTGATCCGGTGACCTAATGCTTTAGAGCACATTCTTATTTTACAAATAGCAGTTACATCTGTTAAGAAAATCTGCTCTTTGCCAGTTCAATGTCCGTGCCAGCTATTTGGAAGCCACTGCAGTCCCCCGCAGCCCAGCTAGCGGCCTCCCAGCCAGATCCACCCCATAAAACATCACCC